GTGGACATAGCACGAAACATAACAAGCTGCATACGGACAGCACAACATTTAAGTATTGCTTCGTTAACCACTACAGGACTCAAATCCCTGCCAGAGAAGACTGGGAAAAAGGGGCCACCAATTAAGGCAGAAATATCCTGGTATGCTAATGGCGCAAAAACTCAAAAAGGAGTAGGAGCAGCAATATATGAACCCAGGACGAAAAGGAAAATCTCTATTCCAATGGGTAAGCTAGCAACAGTGTTCCAAGCAGAGATCACTGCACTAGAACACTGTGTAACAAATCAATTGCAATTTACACCGATAGTCAACCGGCTATAAAGGCCCTGCAATCTAATAAAATAACATCCAAGTTCGTTCTGAACTGCCATAAGGCATTAAACGAGATAGCAAGCCAGAACAAAGTTACTCTATCATGGGTACCGGGGCACGGAGGGCATAAAGGTAATGAAGGCGCAGACGACGTAGCCCGCGAAGGGTCGTCAATGCGCCTGATTGGACCAGAACCCTTTTGTGGGATGGCCAAACCCGTTGCAAAAACAGCCGTCAGGGATTGGATGGACCGAGAATCCCGACGATGGTGGAGGGACATGCCGGGGCAAAGACAGGCCTAAGGGGCACATCGGCCAATTTTACCGCGGACCTACTAAGCTACAATAGAAAAGCCGTAAGAATAATGGTAGGTCTGCTGACGGGCCACTGCAGGCTTAAGAGGCATCTAAGCCTGATGGAAGTGGAAGAAAACACAGAATGTAGATTCTGTCAGGAAGAGGAGGAAACAGCCGCACACGTACTGTGCCACTGCGAAGGCCTAGCGAGACTGCGTTTTCATCTGCTGGGCGATACCAAACCAGAGACAGAGAGCTATACGAGGGAGCCATTGTCGAAGTTGTAGAGTCTGGTTAGAGAGACGAACTTGGATAAAGCCGTATAGCTATGGAGAGAGTCACAATAGATCCTCTGGGTCGCAGTGACGGACAGGCTGATTGCTAGCTCTCCCAACTGTTAATCTAATCTAATCTACTCTAATCTAATCCCACTTTCCCGGTCACCCGGTATATATGAAAATATTACTAGATTTGCGACGAATTGAAATAATAAACGCGGTCTAAATATCGGCGTCTTTCGACCTACATCGGCTGCGATCGACCACAACCAATTAATTTCCTAGTGGCCCGCTTATTAGAAACGCATAAAATTCGTCTTAATCGGTTTTCGATTCGGAGAGGCCGAAACGTCAACATAATATTGAAATATCGCGTTAATGCGTCGTTATCTGTGTCGCTCACGGTATTAATTTTCGAACGGACGAGCTTTTTTGCTTCATTATCTACGGGCGACGACGAAACGGTAGTCCGTACCCGGCGTCGTTTTATCTCCCGGATTAAATCCTTAATAGAAAATGGATTTTTAATGTCGCCGTCTAGTAAATATGACAAGTTTTTAAATGCCAACACCGCAGGTAATCGGAAAGCAACTCGCTCCCGTATACGCGACGACCGGAGTCTCCGGTCCGACCTTGGCCCCCGGAGTTTCGGAGCCCTCTATGATTTTCTTCCGATTGTTAACCCCGTCGTTCTCTTCTCAGCAACCGACGACTCGTTGCCGCGCAGGTATGCGAAATGGGCGTGCTCGGACGTACCATCTGATCGCGGGAACCACCTGGGGACAGCACGAGTTGCTGCGGCCGTGGGCCCCCCGAGCGCTAATAGGGAGTTCTCTCGTCGCCACGCAAACCCGTTGCAACTTTAACGGGGGCGTAGAGGTTTTTGTATAGTCGTCCCGGAGTTATGAGAGAGTAAAGGAAACGGCTCAATTTATAATTGGGCGTCCCTAGCTCCATACGAAAAAAAATATCCTAAATAAATATGACTAACCCACGTGGTTCGAAAATAAAGACTGCCGATCTGGTGAATGGTTATGGAGAAAAACATGTTTTTCCGGAAGAGAAAATTACCGAAAAAAAAAATTCAAAAATTAAAAATAAATATTTTAAATGTGGTCAAAATCTTGACTGGAACCTTCGACACTGTACTAACACACAATAACGCGTTTTACCACCAACCGAAACTCAATTTTACATACTCGACGCGCGTTTCGCCAACCAAGTTCGCATCTTCAGGAGAAGATAAAACTAAACTTAATAACAAATGCTCTCTATATATATACATACACATCGAGAAGTGGGAGAGGGGATTACGCACTGTTCACGCAACCAATCAGCGCATATAATGGGCTAAATGGGATTGGACCTCTGTCCTTGTTCAGTACCTTATTCCCTCTCTTAACAATTTCTAAGCTTTCGTAGGCATCTAATTTTCTACTACTATTTACATGTTTGACTAATTTTAAATTACTTATATCTACCTTATGATTATTGTTGAACATATGGTCGGATACACTTGATTTTTCTAATCTACCAAATTTTAAATGACCTAAGTGTTCCTTAAATGTAACATTAATTGATCTTTTGGTTTGCCCTACATATGACTCGTCACAATCGTTACAACATATTTCATAAATTCTCGACTTTTCAAGGGTATCTAGTTTATCCTTGGGATTACCCAATAGATTTTTTAATTTTGATCCGGACTGATAGACACTTCGAAGACCTGCGACCCTGAAGACTCTATCAAGTCCACTTGTATATTGGGGAGAGAAGGGAATTGAGACTATTTTTAAATTTTCCTTATCAGCTTGAAAAGTCGTTGATTTTTGAAGTTTGTTCTTAAATCTAAATTTCCTAATTAACTTATCTTCATAGCCATTGATTCTAGCCACCTTTTTTATAAGGCTTCTTTCCACCTCAAGTCTTTGTTGTTTTAAAGGAAATGTGACAAGTCTGTGGACTAGAAAATTAAAACTTGCCATTTTAGGTTGAAAAGCATGGTTAGAATCATTGGTTATGTATCTTAAAATACTAGTGTCTTTCCTATAAATGTCAAAAACTAAATGATTTTCACTGTTTTTGATAACGAGAACGTCCAAAAAAGGCAACTGCATGTTACTGTCTATTTCATATGTGAATTTAATAGATGGGAAGTAATTATTCAAATTTGAAACAAAGTCATTTAAATCCATGCAAGTTGTATCAAAAACCGCGAAAACATCGTCGACGTATCTATACCATATCCTAGGAAAGTACTCGAAATTTTCTTTGGCATTCTGTTCAAAATGATGCATGAAACGTTCAGCCAGGAAATGAGATAAGCAATTTCCCATGGCCGTGCCATTTTGTTGTTCATAATAGTTGTTATTATATAGAAAAATATTTCGACTCATGCAAAGCTTTGTCAGAGTGGTTAGCTCTTCAATTATATCTTTACTGTAGTTATTATATTCGAGTAATTTCCTGAGGTATTCCAAAGTTTCTGGTATAGGAACGCTTGGAAATAATGAGGAAACATCAAAAGATACTAAAAGTTCATGTATTTGAAACACAGTCCTTTAGTTACCATTACCGTTATTTTTCAGTTGTTTTAATTTACGGCGCATCCTGTACATTTTTGAAAGATTGTCAAAAACAAAAGTTTATGCAGCCAAATCTTCTACTTGTTTTCGTTCCAGAATTTTTTCTATTCCGTAAATAGTTTTCGAGAAATGATTTTTCCCTTAGACCCTTGCAGACGCATTTTTTTTTAAATACTTCCCGAATGCGAAAAAAACGAGGTAACCACTCACGGGCACCTTATCACGCTTTCTCTTGGGCATAATAATAATACTGCCCTCTTTTTTTTTTTCAAAAACTTCCACAGGCTACTGTAATACTTTTTACAAAACTTCTGGATTTCTCCTGCGTCGGTTTTTGGCTGAGCCGAACTTGCTGACGTTTCGCCAATCATCCTAATCATAATAATAATAATATTGAAAATCAACATCAACTAGCAGATAATGCTCATTTAGGAAGGCACAATCAACTTGTAAAAATCATTTTGTCCAAAGATACCCCTGCATTTACAAATATGAACCAAAATCAATTCTCGAAAATAGGTCACATCTGCTATACTGGGATCGTCCGGTATCAGCAGATATAAGGGTCGCTGACAACAGACCAGATATTCTCCTCATTAATAAACTGAAAAAAAAGAGGCAATCATTGATATTGGCATACCGTTGACCCGCAATTTGAAATCTAGTGAAGCTGAGAAAGTTCGAAAATATGAAGACCTGGCTATCCAGCTAGACCAAATCTGGCGTCTTAACGAAGTAAGCATATGTCCATTGGTTATGCCAATGGAGGAAATTGTTACAGAAAAAACCCTGGATAAACTAGACATGCAACATCTTTGAAGCATCAGAAGAAGGTATAATACCAAGCTCACCAATACCTGCAAAGCAGAGAAATCTAAGACCGATAATAATATTAATAATAATAACAATCTTTATTGTCTAACAGATTAACATCTATTTAGAAGACAATACCAAGAAGCAATAATCTCCAAATCATTCTGCAGAGACACACAATCAGCCACACTATCAATTAGTATACTGTTATGCAAAGATTACTTTATGAATGCGACAAGATCGTCACAAAATCCAAGCATATGGCTTCTCCTTTAAACCTTCATGAACATCCCTTTCAACTATTAATGGGAATCCGAACCATCTCCCTGAAAGCCTTAGAAACAAAAAAAATTGTATGAATGTTCTCTACTTATGGAAAACATGAAAATAATTTCAGAGCTTTTTCTAAGGGCGCTTTATTATGTCTATTTGAGGTATTATAAAGATATGGTAAATATATGAAATTAATAATTTTATGATACAAACTACATAGAGCCAACCAGTTTCTCTAATTTTCTTGTTTCGTGTATTGCTCGGAGTTTTGCATTTTTATTTATTGATACTATCTCAATAGTATCGTGACTCCTTCCATAGCGATCAGATGTTCAGCCTGACTCTTATCTAAACTAACAAAACCAAAAACTAGCGGCAAGGACGTCGACAAAGCAAACTGCGTATCTAGAGGCCCTGGCAATAAACTAGGATCATTGTTGCAGGTTTTAGGGGGCCCAACTGCGAAGAAAATATCGACGACTGTCCGGGACACCAGTGCCAAAACGGAGCGACCTGTATCGACGGCGTCAACTCTTACACGTGCCAATGTCCGTCCACCTACACCGGCCATTACTGCGAACAGGTGAGTAAACCGCTGGGGTTCGAATCTGTATGATCCCAACGTACCTATTCGCGGGGCAGGACGTCGACGAGTGTTCCCTGCGGCCGTCAGTATGCCAAAATGGCGCCACGTGCACCAACAGCGTCGGCGGTTTCTCCTGTATCTGCGTCAACGGCTGGACCGGACCCGACTGCTCCGTAAACATCGACGACTGCGCAGGAGCCGCCTGTTTCAACGGCGCCACCTGTATCGACAGGGTCGGTAGTTTTTACTGCCGATGTACCCCGGGAAAAACCGGTAAGTCTTACCGTTACCCGTTTGTGGGTTAGTTGACAATTTTACCGTTAATCTTAATTTCGTCGGCGGATAAAAACTTCAATCGCAAAAAAAAAAAATAATAGCCGAATTTGAATGGGGGCCCGTTGCGACTAATCGGACGGTATCTGCCTAATTTAAATTGCCATTTAACCGTCTTTGTAGTCGTCCGATTCGACGAGGAGGAAAAAATATCCCAATTTGGTTTTCGATGTGAAGTAAATCGAGCGTACCGGAAAACGCGTGAGAATTGTGATATCTTTGCTTTGGTGACCCGCTTATGGTTAGTGCAGCTGCTCGAACAGCAGACGGCTGCAGGAAATTGACGTTTAATGTCACTCTGGTGACTGGGTCATAGTCTAAAGGGTGTCGGCTAAGACAACGTGACATTTTTAGTTACCAAAGTCAGTGAACTCTGACAACTGAAAATTGGTAGTTACTGGGTACGATTATAGTAACCGTTACACCCTAAAAGAAGAGTTTTTGCGAGGAAACACTATAGAATCATACTTATTTGTACATTTTTAGGCCTTTGCATAAAACCAGGGGTAAAATGGGATGCTTAAAACTTCTACAAGGTGTTATTTTTTTGGATAATTCTATGGATTTGGCCGAAAAATTTTATAAATACCAATAACAAATTTTTTAATCTATAGAAAAATGGTTTTATATAAATAATTATAATTATTACATATAACGTTATAAATAGGGATGGTCAGAAGCTTCGCCAAATTTGGGTAAATTTAGTTAAAGTTAGTCAAAAATAAATCGATTTGATGGTTAAAAGCCACAAAACATAATAAAAAGCAGAGGCGGAGCTAAGTGAGGGACATAAACACCGTCTTCGATGACTGATTCCCATATTGGTGACATTTAGGGACAATATAAAAGCAGATATAGAGTAAAATACGAGCCAGTTTCAGTCAAGCTCTGAAGAAGCCAATACGATTGGCGAAACGTTAGCAGAAGTTTTATAAGTATTACAATAGCCCGTGGAAGTTTTTTTTTGTAAAAAATTTACCTAATTTTATAAGTTCCTAAAAAAATTTATACATTTCATTTCTCATGTTTTCATATAACTGTAATTAGAAATTATTTACATATTGCACGTTATTGGGGACTTATTACATGATCTGATTTTATTTTTATAAAGAAATCAATACTCAGCTAGTTATTTTACAAATATTGTTACATAAATAAAAAATAAAAATTACGTTTTTTGAAATAATACTGAAAAATACGTAGTGCTTTGTTCTGACTAATATTTTTTGTTTAAACGTTAGAAGAAAATTCTTAAATACTTATTTAAAATTTCCAAGTAGAACACCATAAATTTTATTTTTTCCGAATATTTAAAGAAAATGTTGTAATAATAATGTTTGTTTTATTATTATTATTTTTTTACTATTTTGTTTATGTGAATCTTATTTTATATTGGGCGGTTGGGCCGTTGACAAATTAATAAATAAATAAAAAAATAAATGATTTCGGTAAGAGTTGTGTCTTGGGTGTGTTGGAAAACAGTATGCAATATGATATTAAATCAAAGTAACAAAAATCTTAGTGGGGTCGGAATTGTCCTATACATCAGTAATCTTAAGCCTCGCATAAGACACTGCGTAAGATGATGTGGTCATGGCAATACTTTGATAAAGGAAAGTACAAACACTGCAAACTGAGGTCACAGCCCCAATATAAATTTTTATAAATTCAGAAACGATTAACTTTGGAGCAACCTAAATTTGCATACAATACAAATAATACATAATAAGCTATTTGATTCATGTATGCAAACCTACAATGGACTGCTTGAAATGAAAATGAAAATTATATCAAATTTTATGTTTCAGACTAAGGTCTGAAAAAAACTGTCATGGAAGTGTCAGGAATTCTGGACAGTGGACTTTTGAATATGTGTTTAAAAAAATGGGAGTTGGGAATTTTTCAAAAACGCAAATGGTCAACGGTATAATTTGAACCAAACTCTACCTTGATCAATGGTGGCGACCGTCGTGGTGATTAAAGTAACTTGTCGCCACTATGGCGGGTCGTTACACACGCAGAATCCCGATCCTCGTTGAAGCAGAGAAGGGAGGGAAAATTAAAAATCGACTGACAACCTCAAAACTACATAAATAAATCGAATACCCGGATAATGTTATGGTACGGGTTATGCAAATAAGTAATTAAACGTACTTATAAACAAGCGCGGCGCATTTTTCACAGCAATTACCGGCGTGTATACCGGTCATATTTTTCAGACTTAACATGTCGGACCTGTTCCGTCTTGCTGCTTTCTCGGCGAGCAGCGACGACGATCTAGATCGATAGCGATTCGTTAATTAGCCTCAGAAAAAAAAACGCAGAGCAAAGCCCAAAATTGAGGCCGTACCCATACTTAATTAATACATTTATTAATTAATACTTATTCTACCTAAACGATGCCTGCAAGTCTGCAGCTAATATAATGTATATTTTATTTAATAAGTCGATAATCACGACTTGTCGATTTCGATACTCACTACAAAGTCACTACGCAGCTCTGTATATTAAAGGCTTTTTGTCCTAGAGAAACGTAATTTTATTGTGCAAAGCCGCGGAAAAATTTGGTGAATACAAAAAATTGTACGAATAATAACGATTTCGACTATCTTCCACGAAAACTGCAATTTTCAGGATCTTTTAGTTTTTTTTTACCAGCAATCGACACACCACCTAGATAATCCAAAAAATGTCCGAAGTAATAGCCTTGGATCTCCCACGTTTCCTGGTATATCAATTTTTCGAATAGAGTAAATGCTTTTCAAGAACATACTTGTGTTCTGAAACCGTGCAAAAGTGGTTGACGTCATCGCGTCTAGATTTTTTTCAAATATCTCGAGAAACGTGTGTGATACAGACGGGTAAAAAGTTACTAATATGACTTCGGCTGCAAATTGTTTTAACAATTTTTTCGTCGATTCAGCCAATAATTTGAAAAATATATTTTCACCTCATAAAAATACGAACTCGCTAGATGTAGGTCTTGTATTTAAGTCCATATTTATCTACAGAAGTTAGTAATATAATGTTGTCTGTCACTAAGAAATATTGTAGGACCGATTATAAAGCTAGAGCACTCCTATCCGTTTTTTCAAAAATCTTTCAAATTTTTTGGAAAGTCGAGACTTTTTTTCCGGCATACAATTTGGTTAGTTTATGTAAGCTGGTTAGAAGAAAGGCAGCAGACAGCATGTGTTTTGTTTGATCTACAAAGAGCATTTGTCTTGGTCGATGTTCATATTTTAGTGGACAAGCTTTGTTCATATGGTATTAAAGGTAACGCCTTAAGTTGGTTAAGGTCTTTTCATGGGGGTCGTAGGCAGTTGGTTAAATTGCGAGTTACCTTAGGTTTTGAATACGTCTCTCTGATTCCAGGTCAGTGAATTGTGGTGTACCTGTGGTGTGGTGTTTTCATCTTTTCCCCATACTTACTCTTCTCTTTTTGCGCCTGATGTGGTTTCTACCCTTTCTACAGCATCATCTGAGCAACTTAGCATTGCAACCAAAACAAGCAAATGAAACATTATGCAAAAATTAACAAGTTAATATTGAATGAAAGTAAAACTAAGATGATCGATTATTAGTACGCTTTAATGAAAGCACAATCCATCAGAAAAGAGTTGTAAAATTCCTCGGAGTTTATGTAGACTCGAGACTCTCCTGGTTCGAACAGGCGGACCACAATCTCAAAAAACTTTCTCTTTACTGCTTTGTCGTATGGAGGCTCCGCCATCAGGCTTCTTTCCCCTTGTTAAAAATGTACTATTTTTTGTATGTCTATTCCTGTCTCAACTACGCCTTGGTTTGTTGGGGAGGTTCGCCACGTGCGGAGCAAGTCTTTAGGATGCAGAAACGCATTTTACTCACTGTACTGTTTAAGCCCTGGAATTTTTCATGTCGGGACCTATGTCTACAACACTCTTTATTGACACTTCCTAGTATACTAACTAAATTGTACCACGTAAAAAGTAACTCTAATCTATGCTCTCAAGAAATTTATCATAAAAATACCTACACATCGACTGTCTCTTACAGCAAATAGTCCCTTTGTTTTGATTGTCGAATTTTTTAATAAATTGCCTATCGAACTGAAGGAGATAACTAGTCAAACAAGAAAATTCAAATGCACTCTTAAAGACAAATTGCTACGCCTGGCCTATTATAATATTAAGGATTTTCTTTCTTGTGATACCTTTTAATACGTATTCATTGTTTGGTATCCTTTATATGTTTGTTATTTATCTAACATTATTACTTATTAATATAATTTAATTTAATTAGTATTATATATTATTGTTATTATTATTATTAATTAATTAAATAATTATACTAATATAATTTTATATTTTTACATTCATATTATACTGACAATATGCAACACTTATCAAGACTTATGGAAATAAGGCTATCTTTATCTAAAACCGTAAATACAAAAATTGTAGGCCTCGATGCGGCCTTAATTACTGTACAGACCAAATAGCAATTTTTTTTCATATATACTCTGGAAAAAGGCAATATTCAGGGTCTGTTTGATTTTGGTCCATAATTGAAAAACCCTATTATTAATCAAAAAAGTGCCCTAAAAAAAAATCCCTATTATGTTAATACATTTTCGGAAAATATTTTTTTTCCAGAAGCCAAAATAACTCAGCTCAAACAAATGTTTCAAAATTTTTAAAAGAATACTTGGTGAAATTTAAATGCCCTCAATTTCTATTACATTTTTCAATATAGCACAGGATATCCCGAACACCCTGTACAATATGTGAAAACTTTAATACAAAAGTACTAAAACGTAGCTTTCTAGCAATGTCCAAAAAACAGCCGAAAATCGCAAAAAAAAGATGGTCGCCGGATTCCGATCGCGCTTATTTTTTATTGGCCTATGTGTCTAATGGACGGTTCAAAAGAAGCAAAATGTGAATGCCGTACGTCAAACTGTTCGAAAGTTGTGGCCATTTAATGCCGCGTCTACAGAGAAGCGGAGAACCGAGAACAGAGAAACGGACAGACAATAAAATCGAAACGATTTTTTTCGAGATATGAGTTTCGTTGCCAACCGTGTATATTTTCGAAAAATTCCGATTTCATCGATTTTTCTCAGGCAACAAGGTTCCTTCAAACTCCGTTCATTATCAGGTTCAGATTTGTAGACAAAAAAAAACTGAAAAACTTGCCAAGAACCAATCGAATAACCATCAATTATAAAAATTCAAAACACACAGGTTTCAGATAATCAGACAATATTCGTCTAATGTACACCTGATCCGAAAGGTTAGGTTTAATATCGGCTAGTAAGTATATTTTTGTTCGAGTGCTTAGGAAATTTAGTAACTTGATGGCGAGCAACGGATTTAGTTTTGGACGAAACATTATTATTATCCTTGTTTGTTAGAACAACAGAGTTAATTTCGTACCCAAATAGCGTTCTTACTTTATTATAGTTTTCGAAGAGTGTTATTTATTTAACATTAAAATTATAAGTAACATTTACCTGACCGAGCAACCTAATTAACTAAACTGCACTTGTCGTCGTTCCATTTTTTTTTGTTACGGGGACAGTATAAACAGCTTTTCCAAATTGTGGCGTATGTCTCCAGCTGACTTGTAAACCGTGTGCCAAATAAAACGACACACTATAAGATCTGGAAACCCATAGGAGATACGAAAAAAGTTTCTTGCAAAAGTTTCTTGGGCTCTCCTGAAGGTTTAAAATATTACGATTCTGTCGATACAGGGTGGCCCAAAAGTGTCCCATTCGACATAAACTTTGTTATTTTAAAAGGAAATCTTGTGATTTTGTTAATTAAATTCTCCAAAACGGCACCACCTATATGGGACACTCTGTATAAGCTGAGGCACATCATCAGCCGTCAATGGGGATTGATATTTAGAAAGACCATCAGTAGATGTATAGTGCCGATATAAGCAACAGAAACCGTACATAACCTCAATTTCCTAACCCCCCCGCAGCGGGGGCCCCCCGCGCGTGGCGTCCTAGTGTCCCCCCTGTCTACCAGAGTGCGCTCCGCCCCCCACCCAGCTTGTGTAGCGTCCTGTTTTGCCCCGGTTCCGCCCGTCGCTGCTAGATGTCGCGCGCTTGTGTAGCGTCCTGTTTTGCCCCGGTTCCGCCCGTCGCTGCTAGATGTCGCGCGCTCCGACCGTCGTAGGCCCCCCCGGTAGAGGGCGGTGACGCGGTGGATCGGGAGGATAATTAAATAAACTTGAATTTTAATACATTTTATTTTATTTTATTTATAAAATTGGTCTGGCGAGGAGTTTCTTCTTCTTTTTATGTCGATTCAGTCGACCATCCCATTGTTCCTGTTCCTTGCGTTGTTCTTCTTCCCGTTCCCGGAGGAAATCTAAATACGAAGTGCACTCCTCGCCGTCCCACTCCGTCGACCACCCACCCGGGTACTCCTGCTGCTCCTTTGTTTCTTTTGATCCACCGGGTTGCTCCTGCTGCTGGTGATGTTCCCTTGTCGTTGCATGTCGTACCGGGAATTCTAACCCCCGGTACTCTTTGTGTGATTTGAATATGTGACGCCCTAAGCGATGCGCCAACATAATATGCGACTTGTCATACGGACAAACCGCGATTTTTTCTAGAACAAAACAAAGTATGATATGTAGCGTTTCCTATAAAACACACATTTTTTTTAAACAAAACTTCCAAAAAGGGGGGTTATCAAATAATTTTAAAAATTGTTTTTTAAGTTATACGCGCATACCAAAATTCACGTTTCAATTCACTGTCATTTAAATGTAAGTGTATTATTGTCAAAAGGGCAAACTGCAATTTTTTAGTACAAAAAATAAACAAAAATATGTATATATTTCGCGTTTTCCCCATAAAACGCACATTTTTGAAACAAAACTTTCAGTAAGTGGGGGGTCATCAAATAATTTTTAAAAAATTGTTTATTTTTTAAAAGCCAAAATTCCCTATTCACTGTCATTTAAAAGATATTAAAAACGCTCAATTTAATTCGATTATTATTGTCAAAAAGGCAAACTGCAATTTTTTAGTACAAAAAATAAAACATATTTCGCGTTTTCCCCATAAAACGCACATTTTTGAAACAAATTTAAAAATTGTTTATTTTTTAAAAGCCAAAATTCCCTTTTCCATTCACTGTCATTTAAAAGATATTAAAAACACTCAATTTAAATCGGTTATTATGCAACGTAAAAAAGATGAGTATCATATTTTAAAAACAGGTAGAAACTAACCAAAAAAGTGATAACCCAAACTGAAACCCACAAGAAAAGACGCGCACTGTATAAAGGTAATTAAAATATAAAACTTACCAGTTGTAGGGTCGTAGGGAAATGGACATCGCACTTCTGTATTCATTGCACTGAATATAGTCTATAATACACATGCAACGTATTTATACACATGCACTCCCTTCCATGGTTGAATTAAAAGTCGAAAGGTCTTCTACCCACAAGCACCAACGCCGATTTGAATAGACGCGATGTTGTCGCCAGACAACCGTGCAGGTAGAAGTCTCAAGGTCAACACGCTTTCACACGGGAACGCAACCGCTTCGGACGTTGGACGAACGTATGTTGCCGCAAAAGATCAAGGCCAACTTGCTTTCATTTTTTACAATCTCCGTATGGGATGTGGAATTTCAAAACGCGCCGAGTCTAAATGTCAAGTTGTTTTGCTTGTTGAGAATAATAATTAATTGCCCCCTTTATATTTGCTCCGTGGGATTAACGTAATGGGAAAAATTTGTTGCAACGCATGTGGAGGTGTCTTCGTTTGTTAACTTTTAGAAAGTATTCTCGCACCGTATAAATACATCTCATTTTTCTCTGTTTTGTCAGTAGTTGTTTTTGGTATTATTCGTGCAACGTGGAAGCTAACTTAGTGGTTTGGTGTTCGTACAAAAAAGCAGTAAGTACCTTTTTTATTGTTTTATTTTAATTCTTTAACATTTGTTATTATTTTATAAAGGTCTTAAAGATCATCTTAGTACTCTCAACCCGTAACCGCAAATAGAATAGCAGCAATCTTAAGCGTAAGTTTTTTTTATTTTTTTTATTTTGAGATAAAATAATTAATAATAATTTATAGATGGACTTAAGTCAACTGAATCAAACCTGTCTTGCAGAAGGTGATTTTGAGCAGCCGATTGTCAAACTGCATGAATTGCCGATAGGCGTTCCGTTTAAAATTACTAGAGCCAAAATTGTTAATACAAAATTTGGCAATTCCGTGTTGCTGCAATTAGAAAATTCCGTAGTATTTCTTCCTACTCGCGTGACAGAAGCTTTCCGTCCGAGACTAGAACACTTTGCGTCGGGGCAGTACAAACTGGTCTACGAGGGATCCAAAGATATTGGAAAGCCCAACTCTTTAAAGAAATTCAAAATAATTCAAAATTAATCAACATATTATACAGGGTAAGTCTTATTTACTGTTATATATTTAATAAACCACGATGCGCGTAAAGCAGATCATTCATAGAGCGCAAATCTTAATTTTAACCTTACAAAAATTAAAAAAGCATATTTCCGACAAGTTCACTCTTAGAGATAGTGATGTGTGGCTTAGGAGACTAAATAAAAATATTGAATCTTGCAACCAAATCGTTTCTAACGAAAAGGATTTATCTATTGGGTTAAAAAGAAAATTACAAACTACAATTCAACATCTGAAAGCTATTAGAAAAATTATTCTTAATTATCAACATAAGCATTTTGGATTGGGATTACAAAGTAGTAGCCGTGAGACAAACACAAATGAAATGGTTGTATGGGAATCGGTAGCGTCGTGTTTCCAGGGAAGAGTTCAGACCGGTGTCATAATTAATTTACTTCATAAAGATTTAATTCAATTTTTAAACGATTGTCGTCCAATATTTCAACAAAAAATTAGTCAAATTTTAAAGAAATTTTTATTGCTGAAAGTAAATACCACATTTTGCGGTGAATTTATTAAGGCAAAAAATGATGTCCAAGGCGAAGTTGATGTTAAATATCTGACTACCGGAAATGCTGTAGTTGATTTAGGAACAGAATTGAATGATTGGTTTGTTGAAAATGTGCAAGATAAAATTTTAAATCAAATGTCAGAGTTTCAGGAACGTGATTCCGGGTGGGCTTTAAATAATATTATTTATTTAGAGATTAACATTAATAAATTTGAAATGGGTAACGGGTCATCCTTCGTTGAGTTGCCTAAAGAAATTGCGAATAAAAGGGCTTGTATTAACATTAGAAATGACGATCAAGCGTGTTTTTATTGGTCAGTTGTATGCGGACTCTTTCCAGCACGTTTTCGTCAGTATTTACCCTCTTCATATCCATACTACAAAAGTGTTTTGAAAACTGAAAATTTACAAACACCTATGGAAATGAATAAAATAAGCAAATTTGAAAAAGACAATGATATTTCCATCAATGTTTATATCTTAGAGTTTAATAAAAATGAAAAAACTAGTTTTTATTCCGTGTTACCTGCACGATTAACAAAAGAAAAACGCGAAAAACATTCAAATTTGTTGTTAATACAAAATAAATATTATCCAAAAGTTAATGATTTTGATCCTGATCCGCAAGATAATGATTATGAAGAAATAAAATATCACTATTGTTACATTAAAAATTTGTCTCGATTAGTTTCCTCACAGCTCAGTAAATATAATCACAAGAAATACATTTGCGATAGGTGTTTGAATTATTTCAATAACGAAACTCGTCTACATGACCACGAAACAATATGTTCCAGTTTCAATGAGTATAAAGTGTCTTTTCCCAAATATGATTACGTTGAATTTCGAAACCATATATATAAACAAAGGACTCCGTTTGTAATTTACGCCGATTTTGAGAGTCAATTGAGAAAAGTAAATTTGAAAATTTCAGATAAAACCTCGAAATACCAAAAGCACGAAGCTTACAGTGCTGCATATTACTTTAAATGTTCTTATGATGATTCAATATCATTTTTCAAAAGTTATCGTGGTCTAGATTGTATTGATTGGTTCGTGGAGGAAATATCTAATTTATCAAAATTTGTTCGTTCAAAATTACGATTCATCCAGGGATGATTCCTATATCATGTACTTTGACGTCAATAACCTCTATGGCAAGGCCATGTGCGAGCCTCTTCCTTACGGAGGATTCGACTGGATGTCTCATCAAGAGATTGATTCATTTAATGTCATGAACATTCCAGATGAATCTTCCCAAGGATATATCCTAGAGGTAGACCTGGAATACCCGCAGAAATTACATGACACACATAGAGATTTTCCATTTTGTGCCGAACATCGAGTGCCCCCCAATTCAAAGTTACCAAAACTAATGACTACTTTGTATAATAAAGAAAAATACGTCATACACTATCGCAATTTAAAACAGGCTCTCAAAAACGGTCTCGTACTAAAGAAAATTCACAAAATATTAAAATTTAACCAATCTCGTTGGTTGAAATGTTATATCGATCATAATAATAAATTAAGAACCCAAGCAAAAACAAAATTTGGTATAAATTTATACAAATTGTTTAATAATGCCGCTTACGGTAAAACAATGGAAAACATTCGCAAGCATCGTATTGTTAAATTTGTTAAAGCGTGGGATGGTCGCTACGGTGCGAAAAATTTAATTTCTAGTCCTAGATTTCACAGTAGAACCATACTTGATAACAATTTGTTGCTTATAGAATTAAAAAAAACGGAACTTTGCTTTAATAAGCCACTTTATATTGGAATGTCCATATTGGATTTGTCGAAAACGACCATGTACGAGTTTCATTATAATTACATGCTTCCAAATTTGGGTCCCGAAAAATGTAAAATTCAATACATGGATACGGACAGTTTCATTTATAATATCAAATGTTATGACGCATATGAAAGCGTTATTAAGGCCGATTTAACAAAATTTGACACGTCTGATTATCCTAATGACAATCCCTATAATATACCGCAAATCAACAAAAAGGTTTTGGGGTTGATGAAGGATGAGACTAATGGCACCATCATTAGTCATTATGCTGGGTTAAGGTCGAAAATGTATACTTTCAAAATTTTAACGGGTTCGGTAGTTAAAAAGTCAAAGGGTATTCAGTACAATATTGTAAAAAATAAAATTTCATTTGATGACTACGTAGAATGCTTAACAAATTTTAGGGAAAAGTACGCCACTCAACGAACCATTCGTTCATACACTCACAATGTATTTAGCATCGAACAAACAAAAGTTGCCTTGAGTCCTTTAGACGATAAACGTTATCTTTTGCCGAATTCATATGAAACGCTTCCGTGGGGACATTATAAAGTGCCCTAATTATTTTTTAATATATTTTTGTTACAGATTATGGTCAAACAACTTACATTAGAAAGCCTTTGTATTATAACAATTTGCGAAAATATTAGGTGTAGTGCTGATTTTTTGCTTGAGTCACCTTTGCCTTGGAAACTAACGATACTAATATTTAAATATTATTCGAAATATAGATGGAGGTACCTTAAACAATTAGCGCTCCAGTCTGATGGCAATTCTTTATTAAATTTAGAATTCATTCTGTTGAATAAGAGATTTGGATCGTCTTACAGAAATAGCATTTTGGCAACTCCAACCATTGATTTTGACGGAGAATCCGCTTACTGTTTATGGGTCAGTTATTACAGGATAAAATATTCGGAAATTTTAGTTTGTAAATCTTGTCACTTTATATTTCAAGTAGTTAAACAATTTAAAAAGAAAAATTTTAGACTTTTATTGGATCACTATCATTTACAGCTGGATATAAATAATTTGAATGATGTATATCACGATAAACAATTTTGGTGTCAAAGCTGCTTTGAAGAAGTTTTGTTCACTGTAGAAACTGAAGATGAATGTAATCTAATGCTTCACAATGAGAGGAAATATGGAAAAAAGTTACGCTTTTCTGATAGTCCATTGAACTATTAATACTGTGGTTTTATTATAAAATATGTAACTGTAGATAAGGCTTTTATGTATTGATTGTATTCCATTGTATTGCAACAAGAATAAACATGTATATATTTAGACGCTATTTTCTTTTTTACCACCACCACAACACCGCATAATAATTACACAGAAGTTTGTAATTGTATAATTTATTTATTATATACATTATTACTATTTTACAATTTCGTTAAATGCTAAATTATTAAATTGTTCTAGTTTTCTTTTGCACTCTTGAGCTTGCATCCGCGCCACTTGCAAGTCTGTATTAAAAAGCGCAATTTGTGTTTCAATTTCGTTGATATTGCACTCTAATCCCGACAACTGAGACGCCAAGTTTCTTTTTAAATTGAATGCCTCACAAATGACACTTTTTTCTCTACCGTCCGTGAACACTTCGAGCCAATCAGCGGATGACGTTGGAGCTGCAAACGCTTCACTTGTGGTAGTTTTCTTCTTCTTCTTGCGGGATACGACCGACGCACTTTGTTTTCGTTTTGTCGCAGATTTTTTGGTTTGTTGCTCTACAGGAACGAAGCTGGACGGGAGCACTTCTGATGAAGGAAATTGCAACTCGAAATTTTCCAATAAATTATACAATTCGTTGGATGTCACAATTTGCTCTTGAGCCATCATATACACGTATTTATGTCAGAACTTCTAAATCGAGACTAAATTTATTTCAAAACGTCTACGTTGTCTACCCACGAATCGTGCGACTTATCCAATCCCAACCAGCGCACGAGAACCATATTGCCTCGTCTGCGCAACACCTTTTCGACGAGATATAAGTCCGGGTTAACTGTCTTCTGCAATTCTTCTTCATAAAATCCGCCCATTATGGGTTTACCCTGCATATCTTGAAGCAAATACGTTACGGGGTTAGTAACCCGTACTTTAACAATTTTAAACAATTCCGTGGTCCAATTCGGTGTATAACCTTTGTTAAACACGTGCTTGACTTTGCTGATTCTAACGATGTCGCCGACTTTAAGTTTACGAGGACCGAATATTTTTATGCTACTATACGCGGTTTTCAAAATTCTCTTTTCATTGCTCTTACTCACATCGATGGGTTTCGTACCCGTCGTTCTATGTTTTGTGTTATTGTATTCATCAACGATAGAGGCGAGCACATCGATCCATTTGTACGTCCCGCGTAAAGAAAAATGTCGAAACAATTTCTCTTTGAGGGTACGTATCACCCGTTCGACAATTGAGGCCTTTTTTATGTTATACGTACTATAGTGGTTAATTTTATGCTTATCCACAAGTTTCAGAAACGTGTCGTTGTAAAATTCTTTACCGAGATCCGTTTGCAAGTTTTGAGGGTGCCGTCCGTCCTTGAGAATTTTGGAAAACGCCTTGGCGACTTCGACCCCGGTTTTGGTTTTCAACGGGCGACACCATACATATTTTGAGAAACAGTCTATCACAACCAGCACGAATTTAAAATTTCTGTTTTGTTTGCTGTAGCGATCTAATTGGGCCAGATCCGCTTGCCACAGGTCGTCCATCCCTCGTATTATAGTCCGGCGGCGAGCATAATTTCTGCGTGCCGGCTTGTGCAGTTCTCGAACCAGTTGTACCTTCTCTTTATTCATAATGTGTGTTCGGTTGCGATGGAGGATTTAAAACCCTTTGTTTCAATACCTTCATTATATTCTCATTTTCGTTCGTAAGTCGCTCCATTTTGGTTACAATATCATGAAATTGCTGTGACAAAACGGCGACTTTTGTCATGTGCTTTTCCAAATCTTTCTTTGCGCTCATTTCGCTTAGCTTTTGGTGGAAAACTTCGCGAAACTGCATAATTTCATTTTCGAGTGTAGTGCTACTCATTTTCAGTTGTTCTTCAAGACGCGAGAATTTAGTTTTGTCTTCAATTTGTAATCTTTTCGTGTACGCTTCGAGTTTCTGTCCAATAATCTTTCTCAATGCAATTTTTAATAAATTACTTGTCTCATCCACATATTTTTTGTTAGCCACGTCACCGTCATCGCTAGGCGTTTGGACATTGCAAATTTTTAAATTGTTCATATTGACGTTTCCGTCTGGCATATAGTCGAGGGCGCTTCTAATCACAGTATTAGTGAAGGGTCGTTTAGAGCGCAGCGCGCTAGAACGTCCAAACTTGTCCAGACTCATCGTTAAACTAACGTATAAAACCTGATTCTTTTAGCTCTTCAACGATTGAAACTATTTCGTTATCATGAGACGTGTTGCCTGCGTGTTTCGACGCGATTAGTAATTTCAGACGCTCTACGAGTTCATTGACGTCGTCCCAGTATACATATTCAGTAGGAGCGTCATTATAACGCATATTATAACCTTGACCGCTGTACGAGTACGAACGCGACTGAGATTTTATTAAGGGTCGGATGACCTTGGTATATTTTGGTACAGTCGATGCGCCTTTCAGACGTCCGATCGCGTCCCTGTGCACCTGGGTAGCCTCCATTATTTTTTTATATTGTGCCAAATCGTCTTTTGTGTATGCTATGGGATCTTTTAAAAACACCAAATTATATAAGCCGCGGGTACCGGAATATCTCTCGCCGTCTACAATAATATCGCCAGATCCTTGATGAAAATCCAGCGATTTATTGCCGAGAAACCATTTGGATGATATTTTGTCGTAAACGGGTCCGTAAACAATATCGGTGTCGGGCGATTTTACCCATAAATTTTGAATATATGAATGGGAAATTTCTGGATATTGTTCCAGGTATGATTGAAGGGATGCGTTGGCCACGCTCGATGTGTCAAACACATCATCTTCCTCCTCATCGATATTTTGCATCTCAACGCTCTTATTGGGATCCGGCGTTTCCTGAATTTCTTCCATAGGCAAAAATGATACGTTAACCTTATTTTTTGTTTCTTCGTTCGGTTCCTTTTTGTGTTCCCGCTTGACACCTCGACGTTCAGTTTTTATTTCTGCCGGTGACGGTGATAGCTTTATTTTTGCTATACGTTCTAGCGGCTCGCTGACGGGTTTGAAAAGCTTCCGAATTGACGCATCCTCTTCGCTCTTACCCAATTTTAATGTTAAATACTTCTTTCGAATAGATCTAGACAACTCGTTTACTTTTTTTTTTAGCGCCGCGTCGGCGATGTCGGCGGACGTCGCCTTCATGACTGTTTCTATCGACAATTAAATATCGACTTTTATATATTTGTCGAAACCCTTGCGGTAGCGTCCGTTTTTTACGTCGAAATCTTTGACAATTATCAAACAGCCGTACTTTTCTTTCCAGCACTCGGAACAAATTTGTTTAAACGTGTCGTATGAAACGTCGGGTGAGACATGTTCATCATAAACGTGACGTAAATTCATGTCATCCTGTTTAAACAACGCGACAATATTGCAATTGTCACGTATCAATTGCTTGGGTACCTTGGAGTATGTCTGACAGAGATAAATAGCGTCGATGGCCTTGTGTCGGCACATCGAAAAATACTCGCGAATTTTATCTTGCTTGTCGCACGCCACGTCGTCGAAAATAAACAGAGAATTCTCTTTCGCGTCGCTGGGGTCGATTATCGAGTCTCTTTCACTGTAGGGATAATATCCAACTCCTTTGACATTGCTCAATACGCGAGATAACAGTTGATATTTTGGTTGATACAACGACTTTGAGTAGACGTAAACATTTTCGAAACTTGCCCCGTTGGGGTTAAAGAGTAGCGCTAACATGGTGTTGGTTTTGCCGCAACCGCTAGGTCCGCAAAACACCGCCCTAAATGAATTGGGTAGCAGTTGACCGTGTTTGCTTTTGTTAAAGAAACCATCTCCGCAAACCAAATCTAAATTATCGATGGGGAGCTTGAGTTTCTGCTGCACCACCCGCATGACTACAATGTTTATTCGAGACACCTCGTATATATATACGACACAAGCAATTTCCTTTAATTAGTATGTTATGCTTCGCGTCCGGAAGTGGTCTCGTTAACACGCTTATTAACAAGTTACCTTTTGAAGTACACATTCCGGGTTACCAGTTTTGCGGTCCCGGTACAAAATTGGAAAAACGCTTGAACCGAGGCGATAGCGGGGTGAATCCTTTGGACGCTGCGTGTAAGGTACACGACATTGCCTATTCGCAAAACAAATCGTTAGACGAACGTCATAAAGCGGATAAAGAATTGGAAACGCGTGCGTGGCAGCGAGTAAAATCTAAAGACGCAAAGTTTGGTGAAAAAGCTGCCGCATTCTTTGTCACCGCGACTATGAAAACTAAACGTAAGCTCGGTATGGGTCAACAACGGCGTCCCTCTGTTTCGTTTCGACAGGGTGTCGTGAAAAAGGTTCGCAATGCATTAAAGAAGAAACAATTGTTTCATATCGATAACCCTAAAATGCTTAGAAGATCGGCACTGGAAGCGCTTCGAGCTGGCAGAGCCGCTGTAAGAAAAGCGGGAGGACGTAAAAAAATTAGGGTACCTAGAATTATACCGTTCGAATCAAAATCGGGCGGTATTTTACCACTTTTACCGTTATTAGGAGCGCTAGGGGCTTTAGGTTCGCTCTCGGGCGGAGCCGCTGCTATCGCTAAAACTGTCATCGATGCGAAAAACGCACGAAAGAAACTCGAAGAGGACAACCGCCATAACCGAGCTATGGAAGAGATTGGAAAAAAGGGATCGGGTCTATTCTTGAAAAAGAGTCCGCGCGGCGGATTCGGTCTTTATCTGAAGAAACAAAAAAACTCCCAATAAAGCTACCCAGAAGGGCTCTATACGACGTCGATTTAATATCTCTGGCGCGCAAATTAAAAATTCCTCACTTCAGGGGTGTTTTTATGCGAGATAGTTTACCCCGTCGAATCAGATCGCAAGAATGCGGAATCGTAAATTTGGATGTTCGTCGAAATAGAGGAACCCACTGGGTAGCATACAAAAAGAGGAAGGGAAACGATGTTGAGTATTTTGACAGTTTCGGTAACCTTAAACCACCCGCAGAACTTGTTAAATATTTCGGCAACAGCGCCAATATCTACTATAATCACGATAGATATCAAAAGTTTACGCAATACAATTGCGGTCATTTGTGTTTGCAATTTCTCTATAAAAAGGACTGAAATCGCGGACCTATAAGCAG